GTGGTCAGGTCCCCATGGCGGCGGCCGCCAGGGTCTGCGGCCGCGGCACCCCCTCCTGTGACCCCCAGGGCCCCTCCCCGCAGCGCCACGCAGCAGGCTGGGCCACCGCACGGCACTCCCGCAGCTGCCTCCGCCCCAGCCGGGCCTCACCGCGCTGGGCTGCCCCGGGCTCCGGCGTGTCCAGCCGAGGACGTGTGTCCCCGACCCAGATGCCTGTTTCCGAAAGGCGCTTCACCCTCAGGCGGCAGGCTGCACGGTGGCAGCTCGGGCCGCTGTGACCGTCCTTGCACATGACTTCGCTCTCAACTGCTTGATGCGGGGTGGGGGGCGCCCCGAAAATTTCAGTGTTTGTTCTGACCAATTTGTAAGTTAGTTTCGTCAAAATGATTTGTAAGGTTCTTGTGACACTCAGGTGAGAGGAGACCGCAAAGATCTCGGCCGGCTGAACAGGCCAGAGTGTGGCACCTCCCGCTCGCTGGCTCACTGGCGACGGCCGGGGTGGGCTCGCCAGGCTCCGCCCTGCCGCCGTCCTGGGCTCCCGACTGGGCCGGGCCCCCGTCCTTCGCTCCCAAGCCCCTCGGGCTTCCCCATGCCCCCCTCAGCGTCAGGGCGAAGCCCCAGTCCTGGCAGGCCTTGGGAGGCTGCCCCAGCACGTGGGGCCAGTCCCCACGAGCCCTTCCCCTGCCCAGCCCCTGCCTGCTGGTAGTTCCCTCTGCCCTTCCACCCACCTGCCCAGTTCCTGCGCTGCCCACGGGCCTCGCCCTGTGTGGGGCTGGCCCTGCCACGTTCTCGGTGTCACCTCCTGCGGGCACTTGGCACAAGGGGTGGGAGGACGAAAGGGCGGTGGGACGGGGCGCGGGCAGGGAGGGCCGGCGGGCTCCTGCCTGGAAGGGGCTGGCTTCCTGGCGAGGCTTCCGCAGTGGCTGCAAGCTGTGCACACGAGCTCAGGCCTCGGAAAGCCAGGGCCCCAGTGGGGCCAGAACCAAGAATGGGGGCCCCCGGAGAAGCCCCTGCCCTCAGCGCACAGTCCCTGGGTGCAGAAGTCCCCTCACTGGGAGCCCTGGAGGCGGGTGGGGGCCGTGGGGTCAGCGTGTGACTGTGGCCTTGTGCCCCGACAGATGGGGACCCAGGAGGTGGTCCTGGCTGCAGGGCGCAGGTGGCCCCGGGTCTGGACTGCCTGGTGCCTGGGGCGGGGGCGGAGCGGGGGCCGGGGTCTCACCACTTGTCCCTGTGGGCTCCCGCTTCCCGGCTTCCCACCCTCAGCACCGTTTGGCAGTGCTTCCTGATGACCGAAGCCAGGGGTGCTGCTTGGGAGGTGCTGGCGGGCAGAGGTGGCCTCCGGTGCTGAGCAGGCCCGGAGTGGGGTGCCCAGGCTACCCCCACAGCAGCCTCCTGGGACCAGGGTCTCCGGTGGGCAGTCGCCACACCTGTGGGAACAGCCCTTGGGGCGGGGAGCGGGCTGGCGGAGCTGGGGTTCTCTGCTCTCCACGCTGCCCCGGAGGCCCAGCTGTCAGTGGGGAGAGCCCCACCCCACGGCCGGGCCGGCCCCTGGCCCTGCTCCGCTGCTGAGGCGGGTTTGAGCCCCAGGCCGACCCAGGGGCATCACTCCCGTGGGCGATGCGCGTGGCGTGGGCTGGGCCACAGGCGCTCTGGAGACGTGCAGGATGGCGCCCCTCACGCCCCAGAGGCCCCGCGCCCAGGCCTGGGCCGAGGGCTGCTCCCCGGTCGGCCTCCGGCACCTGCAGGCAGGACAGGCCGAGAGCATCCTGCGTTTCTGGCGGGGGCTGGACGACTGAGTGGCTGGCTCCTAGAGCGTCCTGGCCTGCAGAGGACAAGCGGACCCAGGATGAAGGCCTGGAGCCAGGGGTCCTGGGCAACTCGCGCCGGCCCCTCAGACCCAGTCCGGACCCTAGAAGAGCCGGGGACCAGTGATGGGCCCAGGGTGACCTACCAGCCTGGACTGCGAGCTGGGCTGGGCCCCCGGGGCAGCCACTGGGCAGGCGTGGGACCCAGTGGCAGGACCATAAGGGCCACACGGCCGCCCCCCCACCCCCCAGGGAGCTCCTAGGAGCGCCAGCTCTTTCTCCGGTCATAGCCTCAAGGCCACACCACTGCAAGCCCCCACGGAAGGCCACGCACATGCTGGTTTCTGGGGGCAAACAGGCTCTACAGTCTGCGGAGAGATCGGCTTCTGCGCTCCCGTGGTCCTGCAGGTGTAGGACTGAGGGTGTCCCCAGGGCCACCCCCAACAGGCCATCGCTTCACTGAAGTCGGGGACAGTCAGGCTGCCCCAGCAGGCTGGCGTCGCAACCTGACGTGACCGGCCCAGGGCTGGCGTCACCACCAGTGCCTGGCCCGCAGGCCGCAAGTCCGTGCCGGGACTAGCTGGGTGTGAGGTGCATGGAAGGCAGAGGCCGCTTTGGGGGCTCCCTGTGCCCCCAGCTGGCGCCCAGGCTTGTCCCTTTGAAAGTCTGTCCCTCCGAGTGCCCGGCAACCTGGACCGTCTGCCCGGTGCCCCAGACCGGCGTGTGGCTCTGAGGACGGGGTGGACAGGGGAGGGGGCCCTGCAGCCGCCGGCCCTTTGCGAAAGGAGGGGGGGCCGGCCAGAGCGGCCAGCTCCGCGGCGGTGGGGCTCGGAGCCCGTGCGGCCCCGAGCCTCTGCAGGGCGATGACCTCCCTCTACCTTCCAGGCCGAGGGCCCAAGGATGGCGTCGGATCCTTGATGGCCGTGCTGCAGGGGGGCTTGTTTCATCACCACTGGCCGCCGCTGGGCGACCCGCCACCACGGGGGTGGGTCCAGTGCGCTCATTTCCACGAGACCGGCCATCAGATCCCTGCCCCAGCCGCCCCAGAGGGGAGAAGACGGGCCCAGGGCTGGGGGCCGGGCCGGCCGGGTGGGCCGAGCGGCGTGTCCAGCCTCAGCCGTGCCCGGTGGCCCGCTCGCTCTCTTGGGTTTTAATAGGTCATCTCTCCGCAGGGGCCTACGGGGCCGGCTGGGCCGGGGCCAGGGCTCCCCTGCTCTGTCCTCTTCTCCCCCGCGGACCTGGGCCCCGCCTGGGCCCGTGGTCCAGTGAGGCAGCACTCTGCCCGCCCCCTGCCGTCCACCCTTGCCCTGCGGCCGGCACCAGGGGTGAAAGATTACTTCTGCTGGTCGGCTTCCAGAGGATCCTGGTGGACGCGGCCCGACTGCAAACCA